GAGTTGTTAGAAAAGAAAAAAAAAATATTGACAAAGACACAGTGTTTTTGTTATAAGTAATTTATCTTCAGTTTAGTAAACTTGTTAAGAAAGAAGAACAAAGTATGGATTAAACAAAAGGAAATTTCCACTAAAATCGGAGACCAGTACATTGAATACACTCTTTTACCAGATCAGAAATACTGGAATTACACTCACAAACAATAACTAACAACAAGAGTTGTTGACTAACTAACAAATCGAAATTGAAGTACAGAGACAACTTAATACATTTAAGAGATATAACAAGTGTTTCCCTAAAGGTTTTTAATACATGGAGACTCTCGGCCTCATGTCGAACCCACCAAAAGGCGGAAAACCAGCAACAAACATCGGCCTTGGCTGCGGCATCGGTGGAAGAAAAGGCGAAGGCGGTCCATAGCATCTTGTCTTCATGACATGGTTAATATGCAACTGAGCCCTTTGACGCACCGTGACTAGCTCTTGCTTCAAACGGTGTGACAGAATTCTGTATCCAAGTCCATAAACATAACCTTCTGATTCATGTATGTTATGACAGATCCGAGCCATCTTATTCTAGCCGTTAACTCGCTGTCTGACCCCGCATGGTGTGCAATCCCTACACGGTTAAGTCCAAGTTAATGTGCAAGACTCTGAAGACCGAGATGGCTACTAAGTCCTATAAATCGACCAGCCATTACTTTCAAATCGTAAACCGAACCGAGAGCTCTCGCCAACGCTTCCGCGAATCTCTCTGAAGTCACCGGTAAAGATTCTCCGGTGATGCCTTTGAGTAAATAAGCGATGTCGTAAGATCCGTGAAACGTGACCCAAGTAACATTCATCGTCCGTTTCAGAATCCGACGAAACTCGGAGAAAAAACCTTGAATGCTAATCCCTTGTTCTCTGATCTTCTCTAGATCTAGACCGTTGCGTTTGAGGAACTCGATGGATTTCTCGTTTCTCGCATCGTCAATTTCACCAAAATCAGAGAAGTTTATTTCCCAAGTACCGCCGATTCTTCCCTCTGTGTCGAACAGAGTAAGACCTAACTGGATCAGTTTTGTCTTATCGACGCTGAATCTCATGTTGTTGTAGCGTTCGTAATCTGTCGCGTCTTTACAAGTTTCTCGCAACGAACCTGGAAACTCCGTATCGATTGCAATGAAACGGTGATTTCTTAGACAATCTTCGATCAAACTCATCTCTTTTTTTCGATTCCAAGTCCACACTTCACGACAGAGGTTCTTCATCTCTAACATCTTTGTGTGTTTTGTTTTTCCTTTTTTGACTGTAAGAAGAAGCAAAAGAGAAGGTCACTGGGTAAGAGAGATTATCCGAGTATTCAGAAAAAGGAAATATTTGATCAGAGACTTGCCTCTCAAGTTATTATTATATATAAGCTGTCTC